GAGAGAGAGAGAGAAAGAAAAGGAGGCATAGTCTCCGTTTGTATATAGTGTACATGACCCTGAGAGGGATCCCATTGAAATAAATCGTGTCGCGGAAGTGTTGCACAAGGAGGGATCGAGTCCCCTTGGTTTTCTTTTGGAAATCTGGTGCTAGATCCACCGTCGTCGCGCCAAATCCTGGGGCCTGGGCATTGTGCCTTTCTCGCATAGGATCGGTCAAAGTTTAGCCCTCAAGGTATTTCGGACTTCAGTTTCCAGAAGCCCCAGCCAGCTTGGCCCCCAGCCAGGAATTCTGGGAGCTGAAGTCCAAAACGTTTGGAGGACCAAAGTTTGGGGACCGCTGGTAGGCGATCTTAGAGAAATTAAAAAAAAATAATAATAATTGCAATTTGGTTGAGAGTGTAGGCACACTCCAAATTTTAAAGCATTTTCGCACCACTTTAGCTGCCGTGTCTCTATCCTACAGGATCCTGGGATATATAGTTTAGCAAGATATTCCGCAGAGCCAGAGAGATATAGTGGTTTGGGGGTTGTATTACGACTCTGGAGATCAGGGTTTGAGCATAACCCCCTCACTGGGTGACCTTGGGCAAGTCACACTCTCTCAGCCTCGGGAAGGCAAGAGCAAACCCTCTCTGAAGTTCCTTGCCAAGAAAACCCTATGATAGCTTCGCTTTCGGGCCTCCATATGTATAAAATAACTTGGAGGCACACAGCAACAAAGATATTCATCCTGGTCTATCCGAGAGCTCTGGTGCTTTGCCAAACTACACATCCCAGGATCATGGCAGTTAAAATGGGGTCACACTGCTTTAATTCTGCAGTGTGGCAACACTTAGAGCTTGGTCTCAATGTTCGGGAAGTCACTTTTGTTGGATTACAACTCCCAGAATCTTATGGCCACCGAGGATTCTGGGTGTTGTAGTCCAAGGATGTAGCTACAAGGAAGGGCAAATGATGACACTTAAGACCCCCAAGTAAGAATTCTGCCACCTTCCATGAAATTTGCCTCCAGTTCCCCATTTCTTAGCATTGCAAGAGTGAGCCCTAGAAAATCCTTCTCATTTAGCAAGAACTCTTCTGTTTGCAAAGTTTGCATTCCTTTGGTCACTTCGTCCCTTTTCTTTGGATGCTTAAAGTATTTTTCTAAGTGCCTGGGTGAAGTTTTAAAGTTACCGCAGTGCTAGAAATTTGGGGATTGAAGGAAAACTGAATGGGGCTGGGAAAGAATTCATGTTGGGGGGCAATAAATACCTTCATCCTCACTCCAGGTACACTCCACTCTTATCAGTCTAATAAAAAGTAAAATTTCCCCAACCCTGATTTGGGAAGAGTGGAGAATGGTTGAATTCAGCAGTGTTGTTGTAGTGGATCCTTTGTAATGAATAAAATCATTACTTTGATTAAATAAAATCAATATTTTTTTTATTAGATCAGACTCCAAAGGGCCCCGAAATCTCGGATCTAACTTTCCAAAAGCTGGTGTTGCAATTTATTTTCCCTTCATTTGTGGCCATTCGTTAATTCCATTTTTTTTCCTCTGGGAAGAGATGTTCAGTTTTTGTGTGTAGAACCATGGCAGAGATCTGGTGTAGCTGTGGTGTAGTAGTTTAAGCTTTAAGCTACCACTCTGGAGAACAGGGTTCGAATCCTGGCTCGGCCATGGGATCCCACTGGCTGGCCTTGGCCCCTGCCAGTCACACTCTCTCAGCCTCAGAGGATGGCAATGGCAAAGGCCCTCTGGTGAAACTTGCCAAGAAGACCCCGAGATAGGGTCGCCATAAGTCGGAAACGACTCGAAGGTACACAACAACAACTATAACAACGGCAGCAGCAACAGCAAGAAAGATGCTAAGGCTATTGGTTCTGGTTATTTGGGATTAAGCCCCTGGGAGATCAGTGGGATTTACGTCCAAGCAAAGGGAGGAAAAGTCGGGTTCTGGGTGAATGTCAGTTTCTTTCTAGGCCATGATTCTGAGCACAAAATTAAAGTTCAATGAAGTTAGGGCCTTTGCAGACTGCCAGAAATAATGCACATTAAATTGAGGCACTGCCCTGGCTCAGTGCTAGGGAATCATGGGAAATGTAATTTATTGTGGCACCAGAGCTCTCTGACAGAGGACCTTATCCCACGCTGCTGTAAAAGTGGCAAGAAAGCGATATAAGCATCATCCCACTACTATAGCGCTAGCAATCCCCATAGATGGCAAAGGCCAGCACACGCAACTGGCATCATCGCGCTATAGCGATATCGCGATGATGCGACCCCGGAAAATGCCCAGAGGGAGTGTATATGTGTATATGTGTCCCTATGCAAAAAGGAAACACGTCATAGGATGCTGCCAGAAAGAACGATGGGAAATAGCGCCAGGGACGATGGGTTGTGAAGTGAAAATGCTCACGGGGAGGGAATTGCTGACCATACCAGGGTGCTAGCGCTTTCATAGCGCTAAGAATCAGATCGCGCTATTGCAATGCCTGGTGAAACCGAAATCCAAAAGAACGTGAATGATGCTGCATTCCGAGCGGTTTCTTGCCGGATTCTTAGCGGGGTCGTGGGATCAGCCGGAAAAGAATAGCACTATAGCGCCGGATTCTTAGCTGCTTCATAGCGACGTCGTGTGATCAGTCGGAAAAAAATAGCGCTATAGCGCCAGATTCTTTGTGGATTCTTGCTGCTTTTGGCCCCGTGGGATAACGTCCAGAGAAGGCTCAATGTCCCAGAAAAAAATACAATTCCCATGACTCCCTAGCACTGAGCCAGGGCAGTGCCTCAATTTAATGTGCACTATTTCTGGCAGTCTGCTTAGGCCCTTACTTTCCATTGAAGCATTACTGGCTCTATCCCCACTCACACAGGGCATTAATCATTGAAACAGGTCACAATTTAGCTGCTTCTTGTTAACTGCCCTCAAGTCGACAACAACAACAACAACAATTTCTTATATAATTATGTATTACATCTTATATATATTATATAAAATATATAATTATATAACAACAACAACAACAACAATTTCTTATATAATTATATATTACATCTTATACATTATATAAAATATATAATTCTATAATAATAATAATAATAATAATTTCTTGTATAATTATATATCACATATCTTAGATATATTATGTAAAATATTATATAATTCTATAATAATAAAAATAATAGATATTATTATTATTGTTTGCCTGCCTCTCCCCATGGATCGAGGTGGGGAACAACAACAATGAACAAACATTGTCAGTTAAAACACTCATCAATGTAATAATAATAATAATAATAATAATAATAATAATAATAATAATAAATTTATTATTATTATGTATGGCAACCCTAGGAATGAGGGACTTCCAAGCCAATCCACAGTCCTGCTCAGGTGTTGCTGGGTGCGTCTACACAGTAGAAATAATGCAGTTGCTGGATGTGTCCACATAGTAGAAATAATGCAGTTTGACACCACTTTAAATGCTGTAGCTCCTTCCTAGGGAACCCTGGGGTTTGTAGTTTTACAAGGTCTTTAGTCTTCTTCTCTGCCAGAGTGCTGGTGCCTCACCAAACTATGAATCACAGGATTTTAACTGCCATGGCTCCATGCTCTGGAATCCTGGAATTTTTAGTTTGGTGAGATATTTAGCCTTCTCTGTCAGAGAACTCTGGTGCCCCAACAAACTACACATCCCAGGATTCCATAGGATGGAGCCATGATAGTTAAAGCAGTGTCAACCTGGATCAATTCTGCAGTGTGGCAGCAGACTCAATCAAGGAAGCTACCCACAGCCCTGAGCCTGCAGAACCTGAGCAGGGCTGGTGGGAACAAACAGGTCTCTCATTTACAAGGACCTCCATAAATTGAAGCCAACTTGAAGGCAGGGGTGTAACTTTTGCCATTGCCCCTCAATAAGAATTCCTCCCCCCAAGGAAACTTTCCTTCAGCCCCCAAATAATTCCTAGCTTTGCAAAAGAGTAAGACATTGCAATCCTTCACACCCATATTGGCTGTGTTTGCATTCCCTTGGTAACTCTGGCTGCTGCTTTTCTTTGCATGCCTGGACTGTATTTCTAAATGCTGGATTGAAATGTTAAGTTACTGTGATGCTAGGAATTTAGGATATGAAGGAAACTTTCAAGGTGGAGGGGATCATTCTCATGGGGTGTATATGTGTGTGTATGTGCGCAACGCCTTCATTTTGCCCCCCTCCACCTCTTCTTGAAGGTATATGCCAACAATACCCCCAAACACCTGTGTTTCCTATCTGTGTTTGTTCAGAAGGCAGAATGGTAATTTTAAAACAAGTAGATTTTCCAAAATGTAATTATTTGCTCTTTTGGCCTCACTTAATTATTGTGCACCTTAAAGTTGCCTGTCAACTTATGGATCCCATTAGTTTCATTGGGCTTTCCTAGGCAAAGAAGCCTCAGAGGTAGTTTTGCAATTTCCTTCCTCTGAAATATAGCCTACAGCACCTGGTACTCATGAGCGGTCTTCCATCCAAGTATTAACCAAAGCCAATCCAGCTTAGCTTCCAAGTTCAGACAGCATCTGGTACCTTTAGTCTACTTCTTCTCATTTCTTCTGGGAACTGCAAAGGCAAGTGAAAGTCTGTGGTGCTTTTAATATGGTGCTAAACGTCCTTCATTTTTTGTTGACACTTCTGGAAGAAATACTGAGCAAACATGACTTTATCAGAAACCAGCAAGACATGCATTAGCTCCTCATTTTCCATGGATAGTATAATATTATAATATACTCTCTCTCTTTCTAAAACTATATACACTATACTATAGTATACTATAGTATACTATATAATATACCAAATATAATAGTGTGTGTGTATATATATATATATATATATATATATATATATATATATATATATATATATAAAATAGTATCTATCTATCTATCTAAAATCTTAGAAATATATATTTGCCTTGGTATTGGAAGTCAGATCAAGACTCTTAAATATTGACCAAGTCCAGAAGTATCAGACAGTGATGTAAACTCTAAACTTTCTTGAAGATGCCAGCCACAGATGCTGGTGAAACATTAGAAAGGAACTCTTCTAGAACATGGCCACACAGCCCGAAAAACCCACAAAAAACTATGGATGCCGGCCATGAAAGCCTATGACTTCACAGTGATGTAAACTGATTGTGTATTTGTGTGCATCACATATATGCATAACTTCTGCTCCAAAAACTTACACAGACATACACAGTTATCATATATATTTAGTGTAACTTTGGCTACTCAGAAAGAAGTAATAATGATGGGGCTTTCTCCCAGGTATGCAGGTATAGGATTTTAGCCTAAAAGAATGTTAAAATGATTTTCTAACCTCTTTGGCCCTATCCACACTGCAGATATAATCCAGTTTGATACCATTTTAACTGCCATGGTTCCATGCTATGGGATCCTGGGAGTTGTAGTTTGTTGTGGCATGCCCTGAAGCTGCAACAAACTACAACTCCCAGAATCCTATAGCATGGAACCATGGCAGTTAAAGTGGTATTAAACTGTTAAGCCAGATTATTTCTGCAGTGGATGTATCCCTTTAATGCATCCTATAGGATGCATATAAGATGCATTGTATTGTCTGCAGACCAGTTGCTCTGAATTAAGCCTGGGTAAACATTTTGCTTAATGAAGGGAAATTAGCTTTTAGAAATTATGTTGAGTATCAGAGATTCAAGTTGAAGGCTAAAATCCTGTAGCTGTGTACCCGGGTGTAAACCACATTTATAGCAACTGGATTCACTTATGAGTAGGTATTATAGGATTTCACTGTAAAGATATCCTAATGGAATTTTCCTTCCTAAAAGGACTGTGAAGGACCACATTAGAACAAAGACATTAGAACAAATTAAACCCTTGTGTTTAGAGCCAGGTGCTGTAGTGGTTTGAGCTTTGGACTAGTGCTCTGGAAACCAGGGTTAGAATCCTCATTTGGTTATGGAAACCCACTGGGTGATCATGGGCAAGTCACACTGTCTCAGCCTCAGAAGGTAGCAAAGGCACCCCCCCAAACAAATCTTGCCAAGAAAACCTCGTGATAGCTTCTCTTTAGGGTTGCCATACATCATAAACTATTTGAAGGCACACAACAACAAAACCCTTTTAAAAAATTTCCTTCCTTCCAGGACCTTATGACAGTCCTTCATAAAGTTTGAGGATTCTCTCTGCACTGTAGAAATAATCCAGGTTAACACCACTTTAATTTCCATGGCTCAGTGCTATGGGATTCTGGGAATTGTAGATTGTGGTGGCACTACAGCTCTCTGACAGAGAAGGCTGAATGTCTCACAAAACTACAGTTCCCAGTATTCTATAGCATTGAGCCATGGCTGTTACACCTGGATTATTTCTTCAATGTGGATGCAAGCTGAGAGGAAGCCCCATTCTATTCAGTGGGACTTGCTTCTGAATAGGCATGGGTCCTATTGCTCTGGCTAGGTCTGGTTCATTTTACTATCCTATATTTCCATAAGACAAAGCTGACACCTCCAACACAGGCTTGAAAATAAGTCTTGAAAGTAAACAAGACAAATCTTTGTCACATCTTCGTTGGCAGGGCGAGAAGAGCTGGAGGGCAGGTTAGGGGACCTGGACTGGTGTACAATTTCACATTATAACAGATGTGGGGAACGTCCTGCTCTCCAGATGTTTCAGAATTCAACCTTATTGCCCCTCCACTCTGCCAAAACCCTGCAAGCATGTCAATTGTAAGGTTTTATGGGAGTTGTAGTGGAAAACCTTGTACAGTCAGCCCCCACATCCTCAGATTTTTTATCCACTGAATCAAGCATCCACAGCTTGCGTGGCATTTGATTTTGGCATTTTTAAATAAGGGGCACCATTCTACTATCCATTATATTTAATGGGATTTGAACATCCACATATTCTGGTATCCATGGGCGTCCTGGAACCAAAACCCCAGTGGAAGCCAAGGGCCCACTGTAGGCCCACGGTTTCTCATTCTTTGTATTGCAATTTGGTCATTTTAGACAGACAGACAGACACATACCTACACATCCCACTCAAGTCCCTTAGTGATTTCTTGTGCTTTCTTGCAGGCAGAGGTATTAATCCTGCTTCCTCCATTTACAGAGAGGAACAGGACAGAGTTTTGTTGTTAACTACTGTCAAGTCAACTTCAATTTATGATGACCCCTAGGAATGAGAGACCTCCAAGTCACCTTATCCTCAACAGCCTTGCTGAGGTCTTTCAGATGCAGGACTGTGGCTTCTCTGAATGAGCCTATCTACCTGTAATGCAGCCTTCCTTTTTTTCCCCCTACTGCCTTCGATCTTTTCTATTCAGTCATGTCTTCTCATGATATGGCCAAAGTAGAACAGTCTCAATTTAGTCATCTTGCTTTCTGACAGAGTAGGAATAGCCACACAAATTACAGGCCTAAGCCTATGGAGGGACAGAGATGAGAACCTTTATGTCCTTTCACCCTCTTGGCTTTAGGCCGATAAGCTGCTTGAGAAGGACTGATCTAATAAAGGAATGCCATGATACCCAGTTAGAGTCTGGAATAATCTTCCCAGATCCTGCTCAGGAACAGCCATGATGCCCCAGAACTGGGGACCCCATCATATTTAAAATTTGCAGGTCAAATTAAATGGGACCCTCTCTGTCCATCAGGTCATAGTCATGATTTTCTTGGTTTGTTCATTCCCATGTCAATCCCTGAGCCGGCATGGTGTAGTGGCCTGAGTGTTGGACTACTACTCTGGAGCCCAGGGTTCAAATCCCTATTCAGTCATGGAAATTCACTGGCTGATCTTGGGCAAATCACACACTCTCTCAGCCTCAGAGGGAAGGCAAGGGCAAAACCACTTCTGAACAAATCTTGCCAAGGCAACCCCATGATAGGCCACTACATAAGTCATAAATAGCAGTAGCATTTACATTTCTATACTGCTTCATTGTGAACTTAGCACTTTTTAAGTCAGGGGTAGGCAACCTTTCCCCTTTAAGGGCTGAGGGACTTCAGCTCCCAGAATCCCAGGAGCTATTGGCCAACATGGGACTATTGGCCAACATGGCTGAGGCTTCTGGGAGCTGAAGTCCCTCGGCCCTTAAAGGAGAAAGGTTGCCTACCCCTGCTTTAAGTGGTTTACAATCTTTAAGCCAATTGCCCCCTACAAGCTGAGCATTCATTTTACTGCTGAGTCAACCTGAGTCAACCTGGAACTCTTTGGGATCAAACTCACAACGTTGTGGCTGCTGTACTAGCATTCAACCACTTCACCACCAGTGGGTCCTTGAAGATACTTGAAGAGACACATAAACAACAAGAAGAGGAAAGCTACCTTTTTGGATGACAACTCCTAGAATCCCCTACCACAGCATGGCCACAGGGAAATTCTGGGAGTTGTCTAATAAGTAGCTTTTTGAACACAACTCCCTGATCACGTGGTTCTGGGAGTGTCCGTCCAAACAGTCCTGGAAGTTCTGGCCCTGGTTGTTTCCTTCTATCTTCTTTCCCTAAAAGATCACAGAATCCTAGAGTTGGAAGAGATCACAAGAGCCATCCAGTCCAACCCACTGCCATGCAGGAACTCACAGTCAAAGCACAGCCAACAGATGTCCATCCAGCCTCTGTTTAAAGACCTCCTAAGAAGGAGACTACACCACTCTCCAAGGGAGTGTGTTCCACTGTCAAACTGCTCTTACAGTCAGGAAGTTCTTCCTAATGTTGACGTGGAATCTCTTTTTCTGTAGCTCACACTATTGTTCCGGGTCCTATTCCCTGAAGCAGCAGAAAACAAGCTTGCTCCATCCTCAGTATAACATCCCTTCAAATATTTAAACAAAACTATCATATAACCTCTTAACCTTTTCTTCTCCAGGCTAAACATACTCAGCTCCCCCAGTCTCTCCTTATAGGCATGGTTTCCAGACCCTTCATCATTTTGGTTGCTTTTCTCTGGACACGCTCCAGCTTCTCAACATTTTTTTTTTTAAATTGTGGCTTCCTTTTAATTCACACTTACAGCAAATGTCCCTCCTCAACTTCCATCTGGCAGCCTTGCAACTCACAGTCAGACTTTGTTGAAGCCCGTAGCAAAATGTGCAATGCTAGTATACACACATGTTTGGGGGAGGAAGCCAACCACAACAATATATACACATGTGATGGAGTGATCAGAAGAATGCTGCTGGGCATTAGACTTTCAAAGGCTATAGTTATCATCTGAAATCTTTAATGGCATTTCCCCTCAGTGGTGTAATAGAAATTTTAATGTGAAGGAACGTAGTATGACAGCCTTCACAGCCAAGTCCCATGGCAGAATCAATTGCCATGCTCCCAATGTCTGTGTGTATGAGAGTGTTAATGTAAGTGTGAGTGTGTGTCTGTTTTTATACATAGATGTTTTCAGTGTTTTTGAAAACTTTGCTGATTCAAGACCAACAACTCATTTTTGCATAAGCTCCTCGAAACCAGGACACTGGGAGCTATGGTTGATGCCTTAGCAGACAAGCTCTATGACCGTGATGGCAAACCTATGGCACGCGTGCCAGAGATGGCACACAAAGCCATTTCCCCTGGCACACGGAGGGTGGGGAGGAGGAGGAAGAGGCACATCCCCGGGAGGGCAGGGGGAAGAAGTCCTGCCCTGGAAGCCCTGTCCCAGAGGGCAGAAGTCCTGCCCCTGGCATTGGGTAGTACCCTGTACCAGAAGGCCTTTTAGTTTGGGCACTTGGCCCCTAAAAGATTCACCATCACTGATCTATGATATGGAAGGATACTGTGTACCATTACAATTTGTGTGTGCTCACTATTTACCACCTGTGAACCCCTCTTGTATCTTGGTCTTTCAGATGTGAACCTAAAGTGGATATAAAAGTGATTTTAAAAAATTATCCACGATGTAGGAAAAGGACAGAGAGGTTGTCCTCCCCTCTCTCATAGTAACAGTACTTGGAGTCATTTAGGACAGATGAATGGTGAAGATTCAAGACAAAACAAAAGGAAGGAGATGTACACCTTGAACGGTCAAACTAGGGCTTTGGTAACAAAGGCATTTTACTTTCAAGAGATCTCTTTTGATGTATATTTCAAAATCTGGAATTTTTGTTTCAGATTTGGAAACCTGGTCAATTTAGCATGATGGATTTTCGAGAGGGGAAAAGTCAGTGCCTAACCAGGCTCATTCCAGTGGTTAAGAAGAAAAGGAAGCACATCAGTTCCAGTTCTCTTTCCTCCTCTGCTTTAAAGTTTGATTTCTTTCCCAAGGCAAACCATGGGAGGCAAGAAATTCAGACCAGTACTGGTCAAATTTCTCTACTCAGCTGGGGGTATCATCAGGGGGTGTAACTATGCAGAGGCAAAAAGGCATTGCCCCCCAGTTAAGAATTTGCTCCTGCCTGTGAAATATTCACCCACACTCAAAATTTCTAGCATTATAGTAATTTAAAACTTCAACTGACCATTTAGAAATAGAGTTTAGGTATCTCAAGAAAAGGGGCAGGCAAAGTAACCAAGGGAACATGAACCCAGCAAATAAGGATACATCTATAGAAATAATTCAGTTCAACACCACTTTAACTGCGGTGGCTCCATCCTATAGAATCCTGGGATGCATAGTTTTGTGAGGCACCAGTGCAACGTAGTGATTTGAGCATTGGACTAGAACTTTGCAGGTCAGGGTTTGATTCCCTGCTTAAGCATAAAAACCCACTGGGTGACTTTGGACAAGTCACAGTCTCTCAGCCTCAAAGGATGGCAATGGCAAAATCCTTCTGAAGCAGCCAGTCAAGACTAGGGTCTTCTTAAGGTTAGCATAAGTAAAAAATGTCTTGGAGGCACACGACGATGACAACAACAACAACAACAACAACAAGAGGTACCAACACACTCAAGTCCTTGTAAAACTGCAAATTCTAGGATTCCATAGGATGGAGCTACAGCACTTAAAGTGGTGTCAAACTACAGTGTAGATGCACTCTAAGGTTTATAGGTGTGAATGGTTTTTTTTTTTACAACGAATCTTGCTGTCTGTAATGCTAGAAATTTTTGGGGGTGGCTAAAAGAAAATTTTATGGAGGGGGGAAAGAATTCTAATTGGGAGGGACAATGTCCTCATTTTGCCTCCCTGTTGAGGGTCTTTCTGTCCTGCGCATCCAGATCTCTCCTGTCTCACTCACACTGCAACCACCATTCCTCATAGAACTGTAGAACTGGAAGGGACCTCATGGGCCATCAAGTCCACCCCCACCCCTACCCCCACTATATCAGGGCTCTGAAACTGGAAAGGAGAGTGGCAGTGGATCTTCCCATAGGGCACGAGGGAAGATTTAAAACTGTGGGGTGCAATTTTAGTTTCTCAGGGTGTTAACCCTTTTAAAGGTAAACTAAAATATGCAGGTATGAAAGTTAAACTTGTTAGAGTTCATCTTTCATCAGCAGAGCAGCAAAATACAGGGGTCAGACTATATTTTAATATGCTTTCCTAAAGAATAAAGACTAACTCAAAAACGACAAACAGGTAGTTTGTGTTTTAAAAATAAACAATAATTGTAAATTAATATATAAACACACAACAAACTAAATCCTGTCCTAACTGGGGTTAATATAGCAGGAAGAGACTGTTACCCCATCTTAGACTTAGAGCCGATGCAGACAGCCCCTAAGGGGTGGCTCTGTGCCACCCCTGCGAGCGCTGTTTTGGGGCCACAGCAACCACACACCACGGCCCCGATCCTCCTTTTTGCCGCTCCAAAAAGAGCTGACAAATGCTGATCCTTTTTGGGGTGTCAAAAAGCCACCCTTAGAGCCGTCACAGTGGCTCTTTTATGTTCCTTTGATGCCGCATGTGTGCATGCTGTGCCAACGGAGCGCCCTGATGCTCCACACCATGTGATCAGGTGTGCAGCATGATGGCGGCATTGGGGCAGTATTGGGGTAGAGTTGGGGTGGCCGGCATGTGGTCGCCCCACCCCAACTCCACCCCCAGGCCGTCCTTTTAGGCCAGTCTGCATTGGCCCTTACAGGAGGCAGTTACTGATTTCTTACTGGCAGTTAAGAATCTTCAGAGAAGACAGATGAGAGATTATCACATGCCTTAAATAATACCTCCTTACCTCTTCTGAATTTAACTTTAATTCGTGCTGCAGCAGTGTCTTATCACATGGCTTTTGCAGTGGAATCCAGCTTCAGGGTAGATCCCTACTCCAATGTGAATTGGGAAATGCACTCTGGCAGCCATTTTTCCAAGTTGGAACTGTCCGACTTGGAAAAATGGTCACTGGAGCACGTTTTTGAATGTGCATTGGAATGGGGATATACTCTGAAGTTGGATTCTGCTGCAAAAGCCATGTGATAAAACACGGCTGCAGTGCAAACTAGAGTTAAATTCAGGAGAAGTAAGGAGTATTATTTAAAGCATGCGATAATCTCCTTGGTTTTAAGAGGGAGTGACCTAAATAGAAAACCCTATCTATATAATAAGGGGAAAGAGAATGCATAGGTTTCTTCCAACAGAAACACATCTTCCCCCTAGATCTCCAAGATGGTGACTCTATATCTGATCTTGGAAGGGAATTTTTGAATAAACCCGTAATGGATTCAGCAGGTGAATGCACACTAGTTCTGTGAACATTAATGTGAGCATAATCCCCAACAAACCCAGCGAGATTGATTTTTACAGAATTGTGATGGAACTGTACTGTACAGAATACTGCCTCAATTCAATCCAGCTTTTTAACAGTTCTGCTGGAATACACAGAAGAGATTTTAAGATAGTCCAAACTGAGTTC